TGGCTCCTCTCCGCCCCGCGGGACGCGGCCGTGGGGCAGCCTCGCCGTGAGCAAGCACCGCCCGCGCCCCGGGGCTCCCGAGGGAGGGCATTACAGTCTCATCGCATCGCTGCGGGGCCCGGGATGGAGCTGGGGCGGCTGGAGTACCTGCAGGCTCTCGTCACCGAGTTCCAGGTGACAGACAGCCCAGGTAACCCCCGGGCACTGCTGCTTGCTAATACTCTTCATGCTGCGTGCATTTCCTCACACTCATGATGCTTCTCTGTTGCAGAGGCCAAGGAGCAGGTACTGGCAAACCTGGCCAACTTCTCCTACGATCCCAAAAACTATGACTACCTACGGCAACTTCAGGTCCTGGATCTGTTCCTCGATACGCTCACTGAAGACAACGAGACCCTGGTGGAGTTTGCAATTGGTAAGGACTGCACCTGAACACCCTCATAAAGGGCTGAGGGCCAGGGGATGCTGGGCCTGACACTTGGGTTTGGTGGTGAATCTCCTCCCTGAGAGGCAGATGGCAGCTGTGCTGCAGGAACAGAGCCATGCTGGGCTGATAAGGCTTCATTTAGTGGAGAATGAGCGGAATGGGGCAAGAGGTAGGAGGCAGGTATCTCCCCTTCATCCTAATATAGCTCCTGTGCTTAAAAAAGATGCATTCTGGAAAGGCCTTTTTTTTTTTAAAGACTATAAATAAACACTACATTAATGACTTTAACAAAATCTCTCCTATAGAGAAGCAGTCATTAATAAATAAATTGTTGCCCTGTATAACGTACAGGTCCAATGTTACTATTCTACTATCAACAACCAGTCCTCTAGAATACTTACTTGGATTTTTTTAATAAGTCCTCTGAGGAACTGCCTTATAATGATTTGTCATTAAGCTAAGGGGCCAGATCTTAACTGTGAATGATTCCATGAGACGATAATAAATATATTTGATTTTTGAGGTTTGTGGCAGACCTATAGCAGAGTATGGCTGCATCTTAAAAGCTTCAAGTACAAGCATACAGTGCCTCTTAGCTACTACTGTTATCTCAGTCCTGTTTTTCTAAAACACTGGCAATAAACTGCTGGCTTGCAGCCTCCATTAGGGTTAAGTGATACTGGAATCCTTCATTCTGTGAAAGACGTTAATGTCCAGCAGTACAGTGCCCTCTAATGATACACAGGAGGAGGAAAGTTCTGGTGGAAAATCTCTGGAAAGAATCAAGAAAATATTGCCCAGCAAGCCGTTAAGAATTTTCCATCCAAATTTTCACAGAAAATCTGGATGCTTATTTCTTTATTAGAAAAAAGGGATCAGCAGTGAATTTCAATCTTAGTATGAAAAAGATGAGGGTGTGGAGATAAGAGTTTGTCTTGCATGTGTCAGACATTTTCTTTTGCTGTTTCAGGTGGTCTTTGCAACCTGTGCCTGGATAAAACTAACAAAGACTACATCTTGGAGGCAAATGGGGTAGAGCCCATCATCAACTGCCTCTCCAGCTCCAACGAGGAGACGGTCATGTCGGCTGTCACGACGCTGATGTACCTGACAACACCACAGTCGCGCCAGCAGACCACAGCTCTCCCAGTGGTGGAGTGCATGCTTCGCTTCTCTCTCTCAGCCAGCAGAAGGCTAAGCAATCTGGCAACAGTCTTCCTGGAGGATTACTGCACGCCACTGCAAGTGGAAGAGGCCAGGAATCTAAGCAAACACACAGCGGTGGGAATTCCTCTCCCCAAGGACTGAAGCTGTTGGAGCAGCACAGAGCTGTTGAGAGGCAGGCTTCCCTCTTTTCCCAGGACTCCTCTTTCTGCTCAGCAGGTGTGTGTGTGTCAAGAACAACATTAAAGAGGGAAACTGGTCATACCAGCACTGGATTTTAGTTAATAAAGAGGATGGTACAGCACTACCTTGTCAGTCAGGCCAAGCAGGCAGCTAAAACTGCAAGCAAATATTTAAAACAGGTCATGGCTGTCGGAGAGCAGGTTGCCAAGCACAGCCCAGCACCCAGCTTGCACAAATAACCCTTCCCAGCAATTAGGGGGTTTTCTGCTTGGGTTATTGGGCAGCTTATATCCAGTTGCAGTTCCTGTCTGATTTTGCTGCAGATCTCCTCTTCAATGTCAACTCAAATGACTTTGAAACGTCACATAAACTTTACTCCTCCTGCAGAAAAAAGGTGTTTCCCTGCCCTGGCAGTTTGCGGTTTTACTGCGTCCCTTTGGTACTAAATGTGCCATCCTATCATCGTGGCATAGGCACCCAGCTAGTAAATTGCTACACAGGGCAGGCTGTAGCTATCCTATAAATCAGGAAGTGGAAAGTTGTTTTTCTTTCATTACCAGTGGTGAGAGAGGTGAAGATTAAGAAAAGGGCTCATGGCACTCTGGCACATGAGAACAGCTGTCTTGTAAAACCTTCTCTTAATAAAACATTAACTTAAATGCTATGTAAACAAGTCTTGTATAAGCTCATAAATATTTCTCTACAGCACTTGCAGCCCAGCCTTTGCCCACTCTTACTCATGCATATGGGCCAGAAATTGAAGCCAGTGTGTTCTCCTTTCATTATTGGCCAGTGATGTAAAAGGCAACCCAAAAGCCAGGGTGGCTAAACACATAAAATTTAAAAGGGTTTGGCTGCTGAGCACAGTGCTCCCTGACAGACATCCACACTATGTTTGCTCAAGTTGCAGAGCTTTACTTCTTGCTTTTTTTTTTTTTTTCCTCCCCTCTGCCCCCAGTCAGCCCAAAACAAACAGGAGTGAGGTTAAAAGCACGTGCACAGAAGAAGAAAACCAAACAACAAACAACCCACAACTGCTTGTATTTTGTAGTTTCTCTTCACCATCCAAAACAACTCCACAGAGATTAACTAACTGAACATGGAGCAATCTTCCAGAAACCCAGAGAGGAGTCAGCTCTGCAGCACATGTGACAAGGGCAGCTCGTTTCTTACTCTAAGTGACCCCTGTAGTGCCCCTGCCCAGGGTGCTTGCTGCCTCCTGGGAATGGGTTTCCCTGCCAGCAGGCGAGCTGGTTGTTGCCCTGGCAGCGGGAAGAGCACAGCATCCCCTTTTTGCATTATCGCTTGCGCTTGCTTTCCAAGATCGCCTTCCAATCATCCGCCCAGGACAGCAGCCGCCTGCGTGGTGCCTGCAGCTGGATGTGCCTGTTGTGGCAGCAGGTAAACAGGATGTGCTCCCAGCTCGGGTTCGGCTCTGCGCCTGAGGAGGGCAAGGGAGGAACGCTGGCGTCAGCTGGGGGGTTTCCTCCCCAGCTAACAGAAAGTGATGCAAATGCTTTTCAAACCTCTAATGGTATCCTTGTCATCAAACAGCAAGTCAGCAGAGACAACAGTCTTATCTCGGGTTAGAATAATCCGCTCCACAAACTCGGGTCCCAAATGTTTTTCTACCCACTTATACTGTGGAGGCAAGAAATAAGATAGGAGAGAATTCTGACGTACTTAGAGTTTGCACATTGCTCACATCAGGTCAGCCCTAGTACAGCAATCTCTTCCCCCGTAAACCTACATCTGTGTCTATGAATCCCCACCACAAAGACTGGCTATGGCCCAGGACACTGATTTAACCTGTACTTTCAACAGCCTTCAGTCAGCACTGCGTTTGCCGTGCCTGTCATTACAGAGCTTGTGAGCAGCGCTGGCCGCTTGCCCAGAGCACGTGGATTTTGCCCCTCCAAGTCATTCCAGTGATTAAGGTTGCAGCCTCCGTTCTTGTGCCAGTGGCAAACAGGGCTGATTCCAACACTACACCCTCCTCTTAACTCAGCATTGGCCTCTTTCAGGATAGCTGGTATCTCAGGCTACAGATTTAGGCAGAACAAGGTTTTGTGGGTTGAGGAGCCTCCAGTGTGGAATCCCCCGGGAATATCCCATCCCTCTGGGCCATGCTGAAAGCCATGCTTGCTTTACCCAGCCATGCTGCAACAGTTCCTTTGCTATCACCTGCTGACACAGCTGGAGCCCAAGTGTCACACGACAGCTCCAAAAGCACAGGGCTCAGTTGCCCCACAATAAGGCCAGCACCATGTGGTGCTCCAAAATTTCCCATCCTACACTGTGGCTGTGTCTGGGCAGCTCCCCCGAGACAGAGGGATCGCAGGGAAGCCTGGAAGCCTGCGCTGGCTGCTGTCTTTATGAATGACTGACTCTGACTTAGATGGTATGAAATAGCAAGGCCTTGCAAAAGCAGCATTAAAACCAGTAAAATAAATTCTCTCCCACCTTTTCCACGATGCAGTGCTCATATTTCCGGAGAGGACTTGTGCAAATAAAGACTTCGGTGCTGAAAAGAAACAGCTTTCATTAGCAGCCAGGGGAAAGTGCATAAGAGATTGGAAAAGGGCGGCAGAGTGCAAAGTGTCCTTACTCCTGCATGTGGATCATCTCCTGCATAGCTTCGAGGGCTCCTGGAATTGGATCCAACCCTAGAAAGAAGCCAGGTGATTCATAGATGCTGGCTACTTTAGCCTGCAAGAGACAGGAGGACAATTAGCAATGCCCATGCTTTTATCTGAGCTCTGTGCACAAGTTGTCCAGTTACCCCCTGTGTAACAGCCGTCAAAGGGCCAGCACTTTAGAGACTGAGGCGATGCTTCACACCAAGAGTGGATTGCAAAGTTTCTCACCTTCAGGGTTCCGGGAAAAATACAGCTCAGGCACACAAGAACAAGAAGTTACTCTCTGGTGGCTTGTCTGGAGTGAGGCGGCAGAGCTGGTCCTGACCTGGCTTTGTTTGTACCAGCCGCTCCACAAGTGCAGCACTGGGCTACGGCTCGACTTGCTGATGTCCGACAGAGGGAGAGCTCACGCCTTGCCCCTTCCCAGCAGGTCTCCCTCCACTAACTCTTGTGAAAATGGAAGGAACAAGTTTGAGGCTTCTGCTCCTCCATCACGTTTGACTGAAATTTGCTTATGGCTCAGGAATTTACCAGGGATGAGCGAGTAGACACAGGTATTATCTAGTAGCCCTCTTTTCCTTCAGAACAAAAAGGGCAATATGGTGACCATGCTAATTACCATCCTCAGCGGAGGGGCCAGGTCAGCACACCCACACATTTGGGATTAATCCTTTTAGACCAGAACAGCTCAGCAAGAGGGAAGGAAGAGGACAGGAGAGCTAGGAATGCTACATTTCTTTGCCACTTTCTATGATTTTCAATCACACACTAAAATAACAGTTGTTAAAGGAGCAGATGCTTCAGCATGGACAGCTGCTCCTCTGAGGTGATGTGTTGGTGCAAAGTCTGCCCAAAAGAGAATGAGACCACAGCAGGAAATTCAGAGGTAGATCCCTGTGCTGCCCCAAGAACCTTCAGCTTTGTGAATCCTGTGCAGCCCCCCGAGCCCCAGTTGGGCTGGGTTTGGTGGTGGTACTGGTGGGTCCTACCTACCGCTCCCCTCATCCGACTCGGAGCACACAAGCTTAGCAGAGGACTGAGCAATGCAATTAAGAGGGTCACAGCTTCATCCCTTTTCTCTCTGCGCCTGCTCTCAGAGGTAAACCCACCTTCCATACACCACGTGGGATGCAATATGAATCAGACAAGTCATTAGTGACAAACAGGTGGGGAAGGAGGTTCTCTCTAAAGTTATAAACATTTGTAAGTCAGTGTAAGTAGAAAAAACCAAGACTACTGGAGCAGCAATGTTTTCCCAGGCTAAAGTGGCCCAAAATAGTGTAAAAAGGTAGAAACAATTTAATAAGATATAGTACAGTGGCATCTTTATTCTCTAAAAGGAAAAGTAGTATTCCCAGGGCGATTCCTGTGCCTCTAGGTAGGACTATCCTTCCAGACCTTTTTTTTTTTATTATTTTTTTTTTTAAATTTACTGATAAGACATTCTTGCACCTTTTACTATTAGGAAGTTCACTGGTCTGAATCCAACTCTGCTTAGTTAATTTTAAAAATCGCTACCTGGTGACTGTTCAGTGGCCTGTGTTAAATCAGAGCATTTCAGTGCAGGTCACAGCAGACGGCTCCTCTTACCACACAACCCATCATGCCAAAGCACCTGCAGCAGCAGTGTCCCAGCAGCATTAATGGCTGAGTCCACTTCCAGGCCTAAGTTTCATTCTCAGACAGAGAGGTTAAGCTTCCAATACCTCTTCTGCCCTAAGACACAAAAATCTTACCTTCCCTGGGGTCATATAGTGAACTTCAGAGGTGCCAAGCTAGCATTTTTCCACAAGCATTAAAGTCTTAACATTCCTGAACAATCTGGAAAACTTAGTTCTTGGTAAGTATTCTTCAAAGGCAAGCTGGCAGCCTTTGCTTACAAATTGTACAAGATTGCTTTATAGTCCAGCTGATAGTCCCCTTGCTTTGTATCACCAGTGGAACATCCAAGTAAAAAACATTTCAATGAAGCAGCAATGAGAAGGAATCATCATTAAACAAGTCTCCCAGATCACAGTGCTCGCTCAGCTATTATAATTTACAGATACTCATAAATCACCAGCCAGAAATTTGGAAGCACTGCCTGATTTCACATGCAAATCAGAAGAGGTTAAGGAGTCTAGGTGAAGATGTGGCAATCAGATCTGCCCAAATCTCTGTTTCCATGCAAAGCCTCACTGATCCCAGCAACAATTCCCTGGAGCTCTTCCCAAGGAGGTCAAATTGCAGAATCAGGGCTTGCATCTGAAAGCTCTTTTATCCTACGGCAAGAGAGAAGAAACTGGCAAGTTTCCACCGCGTCACAGAAAAATCTGGCTTTGCTGGAAAAAGAAATTTGATTTGATGACTCTTGGAACCAAAAGCCATTTGTCAAAACAAAGACCCAAAACCCAGTTACTGGAAAAAGAAAGTAAAACTGTTCTCTTTCCCCATTCTCATCCCATCATTGCTGAACGTTTGCTTTTAACTTCCATTAGCAAGATAACAGATTCAAAACTGGAGGAATTACATCTATCCCTAAGCTTTCCCATTTGCAATACTTAAAATAATTCTAGAAATTCTTGCCAGTGCTGGAGATGTTGAATACTTTTTTGAAAATGTCTGGGGCCAGGTAACACATCCTAAACGCTTGAGAGCTAAACCCCCATCAACAAAATTGCTACATACGCGGGAGGCCAGGTAGGCGAGTACAGTAAAGAAAGTCTTGTGCAAAATACTTTCTAAATAAAGTGGATTTACAATGTGAAATTAATGATCAACTTACAACCAATAAAGACAAAAAAGAGTAATGATTCAAGAGGCAGCTGCTCAGCACTAACGAAGCATAAACACCACTCGGTAAGAGGGAGATGGGTAAATCATTATCACAGTGCTTCCCACGAGAGTATCGTACATGCTGGCTGTTCGTGGATAGACGTGGCAGACACCTGCAACAGAGGGCTTGGTGTCAGGCTGATCCCCCTCCTTTCAGTGGCTGACAAACTGCAGATTCGGTTTCTCTGCAGGGACGGGGAGCCCTGCAGGCCCCTGTGCACCGCTGGCACAGGATGGACAAGCTGCTCACGGTGGCTGGGCTGCTTTTCCTGCAGCTGGGGGCCAAGGAGGAGAGACCTTCTCCTGCCAGGATTCTCCTGCATCACCATACTGCCATGGCAGAACTAACAAGATCTCTACTTTTAACCAGCTGTGGTATGTACATAAAACTTGTAGGAACTTCAAATCTTTAAAACGTTATTGTTCTGCCAAATGTAGCTAAAACAGCCTAGAGATCTAGACACACAACGACACACACCTAATTCCCTTAGGAAGCCAGGCTAATAACAAGCATAAGGTAAGAGCTTTCCTCCACTGCTGATCTGCATGGGATTCAAACCAGTTACCTGGTTATTTCATCAACACTCCTAAGATCTGGGAAGGAACAGGATGAGCATGAAGCAAATTAGGGAACGGGAATGCCAGAAGTAGAACATAATGCAACTTTCAGGACAGAACAGATTGTAGATCTTCCAAATAAGAAGAAATAAAAAGCCATGACTCTTTAAATTACTTTTGATTTTTTTTTTGTCCCGATATACCTAAATGAGATTCACTTAAGGAATACTCACTTTAAGCAATAAATCATGTTTGTTTATATAAAATGATAAAACAAATCATGTCTACTCCTTATATTACACGTTATTAGTTCCAGGAAGTTTTGAGCAGCAATAGTCATCGCTTAGAGCTCGGTCAGTTTGGAGGCTGTGGAAATGCTGCCCGAACCCAGCAGTCCTGTCCATCATGCTGGTGCAGGAGCCTGTACCTTGCTATGGAATGGGGGAAATGGATGAGTTGTCAGTTCTTAGCAGTAAGAAAACCTACAGGCTCAGTACAGGGGTTGGACTAGATGATCTCCCGAGGTCCCTTCCAACCCTTGCGATTCTGTGATTCTGTGATCTTAAAATTCGCAATGAACTTCTCAAGCAAAGCGTAAGGCACAGCCTGGATTAGCATCCATTCCGTTTTTTAGAGTCCCCAACCGTCCTGCGGTAACCATAAGGAAGCGTGAAGTCTGGATTCACGGTATTTTCAATTTTGCCTTGCAAATGGCTCTCATATTCATTCAGTCATTACCAAACATTAAAAATAGCAACAATTTGTGCAGATGTAGGCTGTACCACAAACTTTTTACATACTGTTCCAGATTGCTTACCTACTGTGCACTTTGCCTGTCAGAGCATGCAGAGGGAATGACATAGATACAGGGCTTTATTAGCTGTACAAAACCCATAAAGAATATTTATATTTCTTGTCCTGCTATGGAGCTGCATTAACACTTGCCAAGCGCTCAGAGTGCTTTAGGTAAGTTACTGCCGCTGCTGCACAGCAAGAGCAGTTTACGAGCAGGTAAAGAACAAGCTGGAGATGGTTCAGCTAAGAGCTTCATCCAGTGATTTTTATGACAGAATCCCTTGTTCCCAATTCCCGTACACACATCATCTCTTCGCAAAGGGCTGGCAGTCCTCCTGGAAGAAGTTGCTAATTAATTGAGGATGGAAGCAGTCTGTTTGCAGTGGTGTCCAGCGACAGGACTAGGGGCAATGGGTGCAAACTGAAACATAAGAGGTTTCAGTTGAATATGAGGAAAAACTTCTTTACTCTAAGGGTGACAGAGCACTGGAACAGGCTGCCCAGGAAGGTTGTGGAGTCTCCTTCTCTGGAGGTATTCAAAGCCCGCCTGGATGAAGTCCTGTGTGACATGCTCTAGGAGAGCCTGCTTTAGCAGGGGGGTTGGACTAGATGATCTCCCGAGGTCCCTTCCAACCCTTGCGATTCTGTGATTCTGTGATTATCACTATACAAATTAAGGCTGAAACAACCCTCTGTAGCGCCCCCTTAAGAAAAAAAACAAAAACCCAACAAACACCAACCCTCCCCCTTCCGCTTTGCCTGTGCCCGGTGGCGGGAAGAGGTGTCCTTTGCTCACCACAGGGCCCAGGAGAGGGAGGGAGAGCTGGGCAACAAGGCCCCATTTCCCAGCCCCGCCGCGCCGCTTTCCCCCCGCTGCAAGCCCCCCCCCGTTCCTCCCTCGCCGCCGCCGCCGCCATCTCCGCCGCCCGCGCCCGCCGAGCGCCTCCGCCACACGCGCGAGGGCGGGGCGGCGCCTCACGGGCACGACCGTGCGCGAGCGCGGGCCGGGGAAGGCGCCGCGGCGGGAAGTCCTCGCGCCCGTCACCGGGCTCACGGGCCCCGGCTGAGGAGGGGCGCGAGGCCGGGCCCCGGCGCTGTGCAGCGAACGGCCGCGGCGACCGGCAAGGAGCGTTGGCGAGCGCTGCGGGGCTTGCGAGGGAACCGCGATTTATTGTTCCTCCGCCGAGGCCGGCGAGCGGGTAGGCGCGATTTGCACCGGTGGCCGCAGCGGCTGCGTGGCCCAGCACCCCCGGGGGCGGGAGAGGAGCAGCGTGCGAGGGCAAACGCGGTTTCTTGGGTTATTCACTTAAGGTTAGGGCTTCTCCAAAGCCGATTTGGAAAGCCGGGGTATTCCGAGGCACTGGTTTGGGCGGGAGGAGGGCAGAAAAGGCACGCGCTCCCCAGCGGACACGCTAGCCCTGTACGAATCCACTGCTCTGGCTTTACTGTGCAGCAGAGCCCCTGGGGACAGCATAGAATCTCATCGTTTAGTCTCCCCCCCCCCCCCCCTTGTTAGGGCCCAATTTTATTTTATTGGTGAGGAAGAGAGTAATTTTTTTTTTTTTCTGGAGAGAAAAAAGTATTTTGGATAAAACATTATATATCTCAAGTCACATTCCATGTCTTCTCTGATCTAGAAGATAAAAACAGAGAGGTAAGTCAGACAGTTTCTTCAGGGGAGAATGGCACAGCACGGTGCCCTCAAGCCAGGTCTAAGAACACTTCCCCCTCCGCTGCATTCCACCTTCCACGGAGGCTGGCTGAGACAAGGACGACCGAAAACAAAACCAAACCAAACCCGTGAAATAAAACCCACACAGGAAACACTGCTTCAAAATTTCTATATTATTTACTTTTAAGCAACAGTCCAGCTTTGTGAAATTACAACACACACTTTAAAGGATGAGATTTTCACCTCATGGTCAAGCACCAGCATGATCATGCACAGCATTGAGTCAGTTGTAAAAAAAATGCCCTGTAATTTTTATTTATTTATATGATCCACTCCACCTTTACTGAATAAAGTCTGAATAAATCCCCTCCTCGCATTAGGCCAGGCGGCTCTGGTCATCAGCCCTCTATTTGGCACATACCCTGCTTTATAGTACTTCAGTATCAAGATTTAATTTTTTTTTTTTTTAAAGGCAGCATGGTGTACACTAACCAGTTTATGATTTACATGGCACAGCAGGGCTCAAGGCATTTACCACATGCAGTCGGTGAAGCCTTTCAGATCCCCAAATCCCGCACGTGGAGGAAGGGACTGCTCTCGCTGATTGCTGGCCTGTTTAACCAGGATTCTAGACCCTTGTAAAGCTAAGGGGTTCTAAAAAAAAAAAATCTCAGTACAAAAACCCTCTAAGCACACTTAGAACCAATCTACTCTCCTTTGAATTACATTACTATACTTCATAAAGCTTTCCCTCAAGTCTATCACTAGAAAACACTCATGTCACTTCCAGTAGATCTGGGGGAAACACAGGACAGAAGTGGGAAGAAAAACCCTTGATCTCAAAAAAAGATGGAGTACATAAAGTGCTTCTTTTTAATGAAAGAAATTAGAGATGTACAGTCAGGCTCAAGTTGTGCAGTTCACAAGCATGGGGAAAAAAAAAACAGACACAAGTTCAAAACGGTCAGGAAGGGAAAGGTTTAACCGAGGACTAGGCTGGACTTGCCACCGGGTGGATTTCTCCTGGACGGTGCTGGTGCTACTGGGCTAGGAACAGGTGCAGCAGGCAGGGATTTTTCTTCATTCTGACCTGGGGCAGCTTCTACATCAGCCTCAGTGTTTTCTAGAAAAAAAGAAGCTTTTAAAGTGTTTGATGTGGATGATGAAAGCCAGATGTTTTGCTGGCTTAGACAGAAGATCAGCTCCTGCATGTTTTCTCCAGGCTTACAGACACACTTAGAGTGCTGCTGTACCCTGCTGGCAGGACAGACTGCAGCCCTCTGAAGTGTTTTTTCAGATGAACTCTTACAGTTCAGTTTCAGGCATTCAAGCACCACATTTGCTCAGCTGCTATTAGGGGACGCCAGCAATTTTATTTATTTATTTATTTTAAATGACAAGCAGCTTAAGTTGTAAGTCTTGTGCATATTAGTCAGCGTGTGACTGTGACGATTGTAACTCAGGTCTGAGCAGGTGCTGGAAACCAAGTCACAGAAGCACCAGGACTTGTAAGCAAGAGCTCAGATTGAAACCACATTCCCAATTTCGTAGCTAGAGGGAAGAGGATCTGACAGACACTTCTGAGGCTTCACACAGACCAGACTAGGGAACAGCCATGCATGGGTAGGCTCCGATTGTACATTCCCTGGAAAGCACATGATAGTTTCATCTATTTTAAATACTTCTGAAGGACCACAAGTGAAGACAGGACACAGAAGGAACTCTTCACAGGAAGCACTTTAGATACTGCTGCAAATAACTAATTTATCTGCTTCATTGGCAATTGATTCATGAGCACAGCAAGCAGATCTGCACCTCACATTTTTATAGATTAACAGAGAGGGTTGTGAGCCAAAGGCCCAGAGCAGCACCAAGTAGCCCCCAATACTTGGTGGGGTGAGGGCAGTGGAGCTTCACCACCAGCTCTGCGAAGATGAAGTACATCTGTTTTTAATGATCACTAGTTCTTGATTTGGCAGATTCGGGGAACAGCTGCATGTTCACCTTAACCTCTACCTTCGTGATTTACTAAATCTTGATCATATTCCCTCTCCCCAGCCTTCCCTTCCAACTGAAGAGGCACAGCCATTTTAGTCTCTCCTCTCAAGGCAGCTGCTGCACCTCCTTACCTTTCCCCTTACCTTCCTCTGCCCTTTGTTTACCTCCACTACAACCTTCTGGCCTGTACACAGAGTTCAAGGTGCAGGCATATCATTGTTTACAGAGGCAAAACAATGTCTTGTTTCCCATTCTCTCCCTGATGTTATTCAACATTTTGCTGGCACCTCCAAACATTTCAGAGAACTTTCAGCAATAAGACTCAAGGCCGATCCTGGGAATTGACTGTTGCACGAGCTGAACATAAGACTGGCATGGATTAGGTGGTGTTTTTTTTCCTCTAGATGCATTACTTTATACTTACTTGTATAAAGATTATTCTGCCACCTTTCTACCTGCCTATCTTGTTCAAGTTGAGTCCTTCTGACAGATTTTCTCACCATCAGCACATTTGGCTACTTGAAAGTGCTAATATCACCAACAAAATTGGAGATGTCACTGTTCATTACCTCTTCCAGGTCACGGATGAAGGCACTGAATAAAACTAGTCCCAGCATCACTTCCCATGGGTCATTTTTCCAACTGAAAAGCAATCACTAAGCCCTAACCCTTTGCCTCCTATTCTTTAGCTATCTTCCTATCCACAGGAGCAGCTTTCCTCCAAATCTTGTGGCAACTCAGTTTTTTGTGGGTTTGGGGGGGGGGGGGGAGTGGGGGGGGGGGGGGGGGGGGATTTGTTTTGTTTTTAATAACCTTTGATGCAGAATTTTATCACAAACACTGAAAACCCACTCATGTCACTGAGCCCCCTGTATTCATGCTTATAATATCATCACAGAACTCCAGCAGCTTAGTGTAGTCTCCATGCAATCTGAAATAACCTGCAATATATTCTCTGCTGCGTTCGTTAACCCACAGGAACATCTGAACAAAACAGTTAATACCAAGTTTTAAGCTTGAAGCTCCTGCAGCTCATGCATACCACCGCCTGCTGACTCAGCAAGCCGAGAACAACCGCGGCCGTGCCCTCTGCCCGTACAGCGCTGAATGCTCCGTTGTCTGTGCCTCCAGCAGACAGTCAAGTACTGTGCAGTACTCATGATGATGATCTGTCCACCAGACGCCAGACTCCCCCTTCCTGCGTGTCATGTAAAGCCAGCCACCGGTGACAGGCAATCGAGCGCTGTCTAGTTCTCCTTAGCTAGTCACATTCATTAAGTGCACGGTGCTATCTGAATTGCAAAAGAAACAAGAACTACTATCGCAGGAGACTTTGGGGAAGTTTTATAGCATTTAGAGGTTCACGTAGCCAGCTGATACAGACATTAGTACTTCCCACATAATCAAGGTACAGATAAATTTGCCAACTTTATAACTGAAGTGGTAAATGCAATAGGATCAGATCAAAAGTTCTTCCCTTATCAGAAAGGGTGTAATCTCTGAAACAGTTTTCTACTGAGTATACCGCAAACCATTGGAAACTTTGATGCACAAAGAGGAACTACAGCTTCCAAACAGGAACCAAAAACACTGCTGCCAAAGAAAGAAGTTTTCTTCGCCTAGACAGACATGACTAAATAAATATGCGTAACCCACCTGACACCTACTTGGGGTTTTATAATCAGTTACATACTGAGAAAATTATTTCCAAATTCAGAGGAACAAACATACTTTTAATGATGGAAGCCTATTAAGAGTCTAGTTATGCTGTGAACTCGTAAGCAGACAGCTTTTATTTGGAGGTCCATTCATTCAGCCCCTTTCAAACCCCAGAGACAGCTCTACAACATCAAGTACCAAATGCCACGTGGGAGAGGTGGGATGTTCACCAGCTCATGTCTGCCATCTCACGCAGCAGGAA